GTGGACATCCAGGGTAAGAGCAGAATCAAAGGTTACCCCGAGGTTCCTGATGGACGATTTCACAAATGTTGAAAGAGGACCAAGAGCATTCATTATGTTAGGTACGTGTCTGTCTGGAGCACATACAAGGACTTCAGTCCTTTCTTCATTAAGTTGGAGGAAGTTGTCGGCCATCCAACCTGTGATGGATTCTAAGCACACATTTAGAATCTGCAGCTTAGAAACATCTTCAGGTTTAAAAGACGCAGGATGTCGTCTGCGTAGCAGTGATAGCAAATGTCCTCAAAGGGGCTCAAAATATGCTGGAGAGGAAGTAGATCTATTAAAAACAATAAAGGCCCCAGCACAGAACCTTGTGGCACACCATAGGACAGGGACGTGGAAGATGACCTGTACTTAGAGACCGCCACAGAAAAGTATTGTTCATAGAGATACGAGGAGAACCACTCTAAGGCAGACCCAGATACACTGACCCAGTATTTCAGCCTTTCAAGCAAAATGTGATGGTCAACGGTGTCAAAGGCTGAGGTCCAACATCAGGAGTACAGAACACTTCCCTGCGTCAGAATGTCACTGGAAACTCTAAGAAGGGCTGTCTCAGTAGAATGAGCTTTAAAGCTTATTTAAAGAATAATAAATCATTTTTGATTATATTTATGACTGTGAATAAAAGATTATGTGAAAAAAAGATGTTTTCGAAAGGTTGTAATCTGCGGGCGGGGAAGCAAGGAGCGGCACTGATTTTGAACTTTGGAGAAGGCTTGGTTTTGACGGATTGGATTACGGATTTTGGCGGTTGGCATAAACTGGTGTGTGACTGAACAGGAATGGCAACTCAGGTAGAAGACGATGATGACATGGATTTAGGAGATTGGACACCGGTTAGTGGGAAAGGGGCGAGGAGAGGGAGAAGAGGTAGGGAGGATGAAAGTGTCATAGGAACTCAGGGCAGCAAACGAAGTTTGGAGGGGAATAGTTCGGATGATGGGAGTGTTATCCGGAAAAGGAGTGTCAGAGAAGAGTTTAAAATAATATTAAAATTTAGGCTGAAGGGGTGCAACTTAGCCCAATAGTTTTGTCAAGAGAGCTGAAAAAGAAGTTTGGAGAGGTAATGTTAGCCAAAGTACTTAGAGATGGGAATTTGTTGATAATCATTAAGAAGGAAGAACAGAAAAACAAAGTGTTGCATCCTGAGAGCATCTGCAGAAAGACAGCGAGAGAGAGAGAGAGGTGTTGGGGGAGTGTAAAGTGGTGCGAGGGGTAATCACGGGCATTCCAATAGAAGAAGATTTAGAAAAAATTAGACGTAGTATTTCTGGCAGTGAGGTCAGCGGGATCAAAAGACTGATGAGAACAGTTGATGGGGAAAGAGTTGACCAGGTGACTGTAATGCTGGAGTTCCAAGAACCAGTACTTCCTCCTGGGAGAGTTAAAGTAGGGTGCATGAGGTTTCCTGTACGGCCGTACGTTCCCCCTCCCCTCAGGTGTTATAAACGCCAGAGGTATGGGCACGTCGCAGCAGTGTGCAAGGGGAAGCAGAGGTGCCCAAAATGTGGGGGTGAACACAGGTGAATGTGACAGTGTACAGGATAAATGTTGTAACTATGATGGGCAGCACAGCGTGACATACGGGGGTGTGCAGTTAGGAGGGCAGCTGTGGAAATAGAGCAAGTTAAAGCAGTACAAAACATAAGTTATGCTGAAGCGGTCAAGAAATAACAAAGGCAACAGATGGGAAAGGACCGGTTCAACAAGGCTGACCGACAACAGATTGATGAAACCCGTCCAGCCATCACAGTGGAGAGGATGATTTTGTCCATTGCATATGCAATAAATTGTACAGACCAAGTTAAACACAAAACAGAGAAGATTAAAATAATTGTTAGAGGGGCTGAGACATGTTTGGTGTAAAAGCTGTTTCCTGGGAGCAAGTTCATGAGAGACTGGGGGGAGATGAGAAGGCAGGAGGACCAGGAGAGAGGACAGTCTGTTAGTTATACAGTGGAATGCTATTAGTTTAATAAGAGATGGACAAGAATTTCAGGGGTTTATTAAGAATCTTAGAAAGAAACCACATGCTATCTGTATTCAGGAAACTTGGCTCAGTCCAAATTTGGATTTTGTTATTAAAGGGTATTCGGAGGGATAGAAGGGAGGGCAGAGGTGGAGGGTGTGTTATATTTGTCAAACAAGGAGTTCAGTACAGAGTGGTGGGAGAGTACACAGCTGGAGTATATTGTAGTTGAAACTTGGACAAAAACTGGAAGCATAAAGGTAGTAAATTTTTATAACCCATGTAAAAGACTGTCACTGGAAGTAATGGAAGAACTTGGGGGGCACTTAGGGGGGAAAGTAATTTGGTGTGGGGATTTCAATGCTCATAGCACATTATGGGGAGGGTACAATGATCAAAATGGAGCCGTAATTGAAGAATTAATGGAAGTTTAAAACTTGGTTTGCCTAAATGATGGAAGCAGTACAAGGGTCAACAGTAGGGATGGGACAGAGTCATCAATTGATCTCACATTCGTGTCGGATTCTTTGTTCATGGCAGGCAGTTAAAGAGACAACGGTGGGGAGTGACCATTATCCGGTACAGACTGAGATAGCAATGAATGTGGAGAGGTATGATACAGGGGGTGTGCTCGAATGGTGTTTTGGATCTGCAGATTGGGAGACTTTTGAACAGGTTAGTGATTTGGAGATGCAGAAAATTGATATGAATGTTAATGTTGATGATCTAAATTCGTCTGTGTGTGGTGCACTTCTGGTAGTGGCGAACCAGACTGTAAAGCTGGAAGGAGGCAGAAACAGGAAGATTGTACCCTGGTGGACAAAGGAATGTGATGAAGCAATTAGGTGCAGGAATAAAGCTTTTAGGGTGTTAACAAGGAATCACAATTATCACAATTTCGTTGAATATAAAAAATCACAAGCTATTGTAAGAAGAACCATTAAAACTGCAAAGAGGGACCGTTGGAGGAGCTTTTGTAGTTCTGTGGGGAGAGAGACAGATATTGGTAAGGTGTGGTCAATGATCAGAAGGGTGAATGGCATTACAAGGAACTGTGGGTATCCAGTATTGAGTGAAGGGGAAGTCACAGCGGTGAAAGAAGAAGACAAGGCAGGTATGATGGCAAACACTGTTAAAATCCATAGCTCAAGTAATATTAGTGAAGAAGGTCAAAGGGGAAGAGAAATGACACCAGCAGAGAACAGGGAGACACTGCAGCAAGCTGACGACACGAATGTTTCAGAGTGGTTTTAGAAGAGGGAGGGGTGCAATGGATCCAGCGTTGTGTTTAGAACATGAGATAAGGAAGGCACAAGGGAGTAAGGAGAGTGTGCTGGCGGTCTTTTTTGATATAGAGAAAGCGTATGATATGATGTGGAGGGAAGGTCTATTAATTAAAATGAGGGAAATGGGTATAAATGGTCGAATGTTCAGATGGATTAAGGATTTTTTGGAAGGCCGATGAATCACAGTAAGGATTGGGAGGAGTTATTTGGAGAGTTTGCCAATAGAAAATGGAACGCCGCAAGGAAGCATAGTTAGCCCGCTATTGTTTTCACTGCTGATTAATGATGTGTTTAAGAACATAGAGGGTGGGATGGGGTTTTCACTTTTTGCAGATGATGGGGCGATGTGGGCACGAGGACGACGGTTAGAGTTTTTGGTGAAGAAAGTGCAGAACAGTGGTCATATAAATGGGGGTTTAAATTCTCAGTTGATAAGACTAAGTTGATGGTTTTTACAAGAAAAAGAGGTGGGGTTGACGTCAGGGTCAGATTATATGGACGGGAACTGGAAAGGGTAAAACAATTTAAATTTTGGGGGTTGTGGTTTGATGAAAGGGTGACATGGGCTGTACATATTCAGAAAATAATAGACAGATGCAAGAAAGTGTTGAATGTCATGAGGTGCTTAGTGGGAACTGACTGTGGGGCTGATAGGAAATCTTTAAAAGCTTTATATACTGGGTTGATTGGGTCAGTATTGGATTATGGGTGTATAGTATATAATTCTGCTGCCGGAACAAGTCTTCATAAGTTAGATAGTATCCAATATCAAGCGTTAAGACTTTGCTCAGGTGCATTCAAAACAACATCTGCAGCATCACTACAGGTAGAAATGGGGGAAATGCCATTACAAATAAGAAGAGAGCAACTGGCATTGAATTACTGGGCAAATTTACAAGGACATGGTCAGGATCATCCGACAAAAACTGTTTTCCAACCATGCTGGGAAAAAGAGAAAATGCAATTGAACAGTGGGACAGAAAGCAGCTGAACTTAATCTGGACAAGATCAACATGTCAAACAGTACCGTTGCCTACAATACCACCATGGATGCTCCCTGATGCAGTAGTAGTTCCTCAAGAGCAGAATACGACACAAAATGAAGGAAAGGTGGCAAAAGCAATGGGAGGAGGAGAGGAAAGGGTGATGGCTGTACAACATCCAAAGGAAAGTGGGGAAATGAGAAGTACTGGACGAAACAGGAGAGAGGAGACGATTCTCGACTGAGATTCGGACACACTGGCTTAAATAGCACATTATTTTTAATAGGTAAACACTGTGCAGGGGAGTGTGACTGCAGTAGGGAACAGGAAACAATAGAACATGTTTTATTGCATTGTCAGAAGTATGATATGGAAAGGAGACAACTGATCAAAAAGCTGGACGATATGAAAGTGAAGTTGGACTTGTTTGATTTATTTCGCGTGAGCTCTATAAGTGAAAGTTATCAGGCTGTATTTTTGTTTTTAAGGCAGACCCATTTGTTCGGGAGAATTTGAATATTTTATTTTATTTTATTTATTTATTTTTTATTTTTAAAAAAATAAAAAATTTTGTCATTTCGGTCCACACTCCACACCACGTGGTGGCGGTAATGCACCATTTTGCTGTTTGCCAACCGCCAATAAACCCTATACAGACGAAGAAGATGTTTTCGAAAGGCAAGGATTAATATTGGAACTCTATTACCCAGAGTGCCTCATGTGTGACGTAGGTTTTTCAGTTAAAAACATCCTGCCTCCTCGGCTCGACCGTTAGTGGCGCTGAAGCTAACGGGAGCGGAGGGTGCTGTCCTTCTGTTGGTCGTTTCTCCGAAAACTCATAAAAGAACTCCACATTAGAAAGTAGGCCGCTCAGTTTAGAGATAATGGCGGAAGGAGACAACAAAAGCGTGAACTTGATGGTAAGTATGAAGCATTTTTAAAACCCACTATGGCGAATTTAAGGGCTCGTGTTCGATGTATGCGTGTTTGCAGCAGGAGAGTTAGCCTCACCCGTCGCTGCTAATCTGACGGCGCTAACACTACTGTGGTGTTTAGAGATTTGTGTAAATAGTGTGAACTTTGCACATGGGGGCAGCTGAAAAGTCTAAGCTAAGCGATTTAACCCTGATCGCTTATCCGTCCGTCCGTGCTGACCGCAGCTAACCTTAGCTAGCTGACTAGTTAGCATGCTTATTTTAGCTTCAGCAGTGGGGACGCTTCCTTTTTGTGGAGGTGCTGCCTCGCCCTAACGCAGAAATCATTTTAAAGCTTTAAAACAAACTGAGATCGAGTCATCACACGCTCATTCGACGTGGTTTGACAGCCTGTGTTTGTCCCCGGTTATTTCTACGTCTAGTGCACTGTCACTGCGCCGTCTTATCACCAAAGATACACACCCTGTTTATCAATTTACTTCTCAAATAGACTTCTAGGCCACAAAACACACAAACTGAGAGCCATATAAAGGAGTATCGTTACATTCAGGTGTTCTGTGTGTGAAACAGCAGGATAAACCCACATTATATGACTTTAAAGGTGCTAGTTGCTCTTCCAGAGGCAGCACAGTAATGTCACCTTTATACTAACTCCTGGAGAGACTGCCCTCCTGAGTACACAATCCCCTCAGATTACACTGATATCGCACAGTTTGATGGTCAGTTAGGTAATGTGTAATGGTTTGTTTGTGTGTTCAGGCCCAGGAGACGGCCCAGCTGGAAGAGCAGCTGCAGTGCTGGCGTGAGGTGATCCTGGCTGGGGATCAGGTCCTGCGTTGGGAGAAGCCCTGGTTCCCCGGAGCGCTGATGGGCGCGACCACCGTGCTCTTCCTGTGAGTCTGCTTCAGAGTGGGCGCTACACAGCTGGCACCACACATTTCCTTCCTCTCAGCAGTGATAGCTATCTGTTACAGGAGAGCAGGGAGAGGCTGGCCATGTCTTATATTCAATTTTTATAGTTTACATCTGCCAGCGACTAAAAGCAGCCCGGTTTGATCTCAGATGGGCTGAGCAAAGTAAACCAAGGTGGAATTACTCAGATTTATTCCTTCCAGTGTAAAACTAACAGTACAAAGTGTTATGTCTTTGGTCAGGTATTTTTCTGATTTAATCAGCAGTCTGATGGTTGGTTGACCAAAGATTTGCATCACAGTATTTTAAGATTCTGGTGGATTCCCTGGATTTATTATTTTGTAGTACATTTTGTTTAAGTGTGTCTTTATGTAGATTTACCTTCAGTCAGGAGTATAAATTATTCAAAAACTACTTTAAGTATTTGACATAGGGCTATAATCACATCATAACTGTAAGTCTTTTCTGTTTTTGGGTTGGTTGTAATGTCACTTTTTGTTATCCATTTGCACTTTTTCTTACAACTGTTGTGTGCAGGTGATTCTGTCTCCAGGTAAAATCTCCTCTCTTGGAGTATCTCTGCTCGTTTCCCATCCTTCAACTGTCTGTACTGCACAGAGGCCTTCCTGTCTGCTAACGTACTGCTAGAATTGCGCAGCAGCTCTGGATGGTGTAATTTAGGATGTGTAACGTGTTAGTGGTGCACAGCAGCCATTTCTATCTTTGCCCTGTGGAACTGAGTTAGCTGTGGAGTGTTGTCTGCTTTTGTTAACTTAAATGAGTCGTATAATTACAACAGGGTGCAGAGCTAATACAGGTCCACTTTCAGTGTGCGGCTTCTGGTCAACACACACACACACACACTGTCTCTTATTTAAACCACTAGAAAAACCACGGTAGACATTTGAACTGTTTCTTGTAGTGTTCAAGCTCAGACCGTGATGTTGTCAGAGGAGCACTACGATTACAAAACCGCTAACAAACAGATGTTTTTAGTTTTCAGATCGATGAACCAAAGAAATCCAAAACGATGATTTTGTCAGTCAAACTCGACAAGTCGCACTACTCTCTTACTCTCTTCCAGACACTTGTGCTCTCGGTTAGTAAAGCAGGCGTCACCACAGAAAGAACAGCAGTGTAACCTGTATCCTGCGGGGTGAAATGGAGGCTTTGGCAGGCTGATTCTTGAGGCCTGATTTATTACTAATTAAGATAATTAGCAGGCCTGTGACAAGTAATATAAGCCCACACTGATGTAAAACGAGTGTCCTAATTACAGTTTTCCAGCTGGTTGTCAGAACACTCAGCTTAATGTTAATCTTTTCCACATTGTTGAAACACAAAGCAAAACAATGCAGATTAGCTTCTGCTAAATGAGCTTCGGTTGGGCCGTTATTAGGCCATTCCTGAAATCTACTGAAGGTGAATCCAGACTGGAACACTGCTGCACTGTTTCTGATGCCTTCCTGCTTGTTTCACACACCCTCAGTGTTCATGTCTTTCAGCTGCAGGTGCTTTGTACGCTCCAGCGTTCATGAGCAGAGATCCCCAAATCGTAACAATCGTAACAAAATGAAGGCGTGATTTTAAACAATGAAATGTTCAAACCCGTTCTGCCTGTTTTGTGTTCGTCCTCCAGGCTCATCTACTACTTGGACCCATCAGTGCTGACCGGCCTGTCCTGCACCGTCATGTTGCTCTGCCTGGCCGACTACCTGGTGCCCACCCTCGCCCCCCGAGTGTTTGGCTCCAATAAGTGGTGAGAGCTCTGTCATATTTGCTTCGCCCCTATGTAGACAGGTTTTCCTGTTTTGTCAGTCAGATCTGAAGGCTTCCTACATCACTCTGGCTTCAGAGATGACCTCCAGCTTTGGTCTTTGACTAAACTGAGTTGTGAAAGAGGAGGATATATATTATCGCAACGTTCAACAGACTTCCACAGGAGGATGAAACTGGATGCTTATCAGGGTTTCAGGATCGTTCCAACTCAGTCTTAACTATGAGTGAAGCAGCTTCATATGACTTTGTTTCTGTGTCTTTGATTCTTGTTTTTTCTGCAAGTCAGAAGTGATGAAGCAACAGAGGGGGTGATCTCAGATGGTGTAATGAGAACAGCTGTGTGAGTGAGCACAACACATGTCATGGTCTAACTGGACGATAACCAGTTAAACAGTCCACTGAGGAGGAAGCTAATAAATTCTGAGGCAACATGAAGCTGAAGGGGAAAGGTGAGCGGAGAAAAGGAAGATGTATGGTTTAAAAAAACAAAAACAGGAGGTGGGGGGGGGGTTTCCCTCCAGCTGTGCCGTTTTAAAGCAGTGGTGGTCTGGCCTGCTGTAGAAGCCAGAAACAGTTCATGCCTCACACGGGTTTTGTTTTTATTTACTGCTATTTAGGGCTGGGCCATATCATACCGTTCACGGTAATACCGCTACAATGTTAGCCAACGAGAAGAAAATGAAATATGGCGATAGAAAGTGGGTAAAACACGCATGCGCTGTGCCTTTGTTTTTATACGCACATGGCGGAAAAAGCATGACGGAGAACGAGAAGAGCAAAAGTGGATCGTTGAATGAAACCATGAACCTGAACTGGTTTGTAAAAATGCTGCAGCTTCACTGGTGTGGAACTGGTTTAGCTTTCGTCCGTTAGATACACAACAAAGCACTATTTTTGGTAGCGCATGCTAGCGGGCCGTCGTTATTACCGTGTTGTTGGAAAATACGGCGCACTTAAAATTAATCCTTTGATTTTTCTGAACATCGACAGAGCCCCTTATAATCCCGTGTGCCTTATGTATGAACTCTGGTTGTGTTTACTGACCTCGAAACGATTTTATGTGCACGGCGCTCGAAAATCTGTCAAATGTTTCAGTACGACTTTGCTGAGCTACGAAGCCGCACCGCTTGATGGATTGTTGGAGCATTACGGCTATCGTAGGCGGAGCCTCGCGGAGTGATACGTACTGTGCTTCAACATAATATTACCGTACTGTGTGTGTATGACCTCGTTAAGTTTTGTGGATATTATACATGGTTATGCTGAGGATGTGTCGGCCAGTTTCCACTGGAAATGCCTTTTGGTTAAACTGTCAGCGAGGATTTTGCATTTGCACTGTTAAATATTTATATAACTTTAATGCACATAAAAAACAGCTGATTGTAAGTGAAAATACACTGACTTTTTTTTTTTTTGCACAAATAAAGTTGTGGAGTTGTAAAAGTATTTTGTCTGGTGTCAGTTATATCGTCAGTTATTGGAAATTTTCAAATGAATATTGTGATAAATATTTTTGGGCACGTTGCCCTGCTCTACTGCTATTTACATCAAAATGGGTCCAAGCTGAATTTTGGACCGTCCTAGTTTGTTTTCGGAGGATGGTCATCAGTAAGTCCACGCGACCTGCCCAACAAAACGTGCATGTGTAGGGAAACCGATGGTTTTGAAAACCTCTACAGAACTGACTGTGTAAAATTGCCCCGCCTTCATAATGACAGGGCGGCTCACCTGGAGAGTTAGTTGGTTAAGACGAGTTGTAAAGCCTGTTGGCTGAGCTGCACCTGGAGTCCTCTCATCCTCTTTGTTTGTTAGTAAAACATAACAAACTAGATTATTAGAGACCTGCAGCCAAAGGGGCGTTTCATTTTCAGTTTGAGGTAAATGGCAGACTGTCCCACGGCTTCACGAAGCTTCGGCAGTAGCCAGTACTCGGCGAGCAGCCCGTTGATTCAGCTGTTTGTGTTGGATGGTGACAACCAGACACCCAGGACAGGATAGGATAACAGCCTTCAGTTGGCACGGTGTGCTGCACGTCATCCTCCAGCTGATATAAAAGCTTGCATCAGCAGAGCGTGACCTGCGCTGCTTCACACTCAACACAGCCTCTGGGTGATGATGTACAGTTTTTGAGATTTTCGCTTGTTTTTAATCTACCGCTGGGGGCTTGGTTTATGTAGGGAGATTAAAAAGCCTGTTTACATTTTCGGTTACAGCCTCGGGATGATGAGCTATTTGTCTGCAGAGCCTGACAAATGTCCTTTGATCTCACTGAGACGGCAGAAAGCTGGCGTATCTGTGCGAGTCTGTAACACGAAGCTGGTCACGGTCCCTGTTTGGCTCCCCGACAACAAGGACTGAAATAGGGAGCGATGGCGAAGCAGAAAATAGAGGTCACTCTTCCCAGCTGTCCCCTCTTGTCCTTCACTGTTTGATCTCTTTAGCCTTCACAGCAGTGCAGCGTGGGATGTGGTGTTCCAGTTTATTGGCTGTGAGGCAAATTATGGTCGGAGATTGTTGTTGGGTGATTCCCAAACAGTGAAACTTCCACCTGTCAGTGATTTTTGCATGTTTGTCTTACTGAACTCCAGAATGTGAGAAAGTTTGGAACTGAACTTCAAGCAGAGCTGGTTTGTGCTGCGAGCAGCCCCGTGCAGAGTTTACACTGTACCTGTAGTGATGTTGATGGGCAGCACCTCTCCTGTGTCTCCTTTATGTTTTGTCAGGTACATGTTTTATAAATGGAGGATTCTATTCTCCTGCCTCTTATCCAGCTGGTAGCTTGTGTTCAATAGACCCAGTTCTTCCCCTGATCAGGTTCTTGGTTTTGGTTCTGCTTAAGCTCAGAGCAGCACAAGTTGCAGTCAGCTGGGCCGCAACTCAGTGCTGTTACCTGGTGACAGGAGGAGGTTAGGTGGACCTCCTCCTGTTGTAGGTTGGATTTTCTAAAGCAGAAAGTGAGGAAGTTTAAATATGCTGAGAAGCTGATATTGAAGTTTTTTGCCCCGTGATCTGAAATATTTGTGCCTGCTGCAGCTGATCATCTGTGAGTCAGCTGATCATTTCAGCTCTAATGGAGCCTAGACATTTATTAGGTCACATTAAAAACGTTAATGCAACAACACTGTTTTTTCTCACTCTCATTGGTTTAAATAGAGCTAAGTGTTGCAGGCAGCTGTGTGTGACTCACTGGCTTCCTCTTGATGGTGAGATTAGGAAATGTTGGTGAAAACCTTTCTTCAGGCCTGAGCTTTAACTCAGCAGAAACTCTGCAGCCAGGACCGTTGAGTGAGTTTTCTCATTGTCTGTAACACCTTGAACTCTGCTCCTGCAGGACCACCGAGCAGCAGCAGCGTTTCCACGAGATCTGTGGGAACCTGGTGAAGACTGAGCGCCGCATCGTGGGCTGGTGGAAGCGCCTCTGCACCCTCAAGGAGGAAAAACCCAAAATGGTACGCTCAGAGCTTTCACTTTGATCCCAACCCCTCCAAAAACCAGCATTTTTAAGACATAAATTCCTAATCCTGCATCTGATGTTGCAACTAAACACCTCACTATAGTAGTTGCAGTGTAATCAGCTGCCTCTTGCTGGTCTCAGCCACGCTGTGTGTTTGTAGTTGGAAGTTTTTGACTGTGTTGCAGTCGGTGAAGAAGAGGCACAAAACTTTCCACAATGTTCCCAGACTCCAAAATGAATCACATTTGCACAAAGTTCTGATAAGCTGATCTTTGTAGGCTAGCTTAGCGTGCACAGTGAAGGGGCTGTATCTGATTGGCTGCTGAAGGCAAGCGTTTAGTCCCAAAAACAGTCTGACCTTTGCTTTTGGTCTGAGCAGAGTTAAAGTCTAACTTGCCCTGAGCTACAGGGAACCTGAATGAATCAAATAAGCTGCAGTAAATGGAAGTTTTATTACAACAGGGAGCTCTCTCTGTGCTCCAGATAAAAATATCAGCTGATCTGACTTTGCTGCTCCACTTAGCAGACCTCAAACTGGGTCACGGGCAGCCAGAACAGAGTTTTTCACAGCCTGTGTGACTCGTTCTCGATCAGTGGCCATTCTGACTCTTCCTTCTGAATGATGACTTGCTAATGAAATTGAGCTGAATGTAACCTGACCTCCTGATCTCCACAGTACTTTGCCTCAGTGATCAGCAGCCTGCTGGCTGTGGCCTGGATCGGACAGCAGGTGCACAACCTGTTCCTGACGTACCTGATCGGTGAGTATACTTTCACTACTGTTTTGTTTATCGCCACTGTTATCAGCCATGTTTCACTCATATCTTTGTGGGTTTCCTTCCCGCACTCTCCCCTGCTGGCTGCTGTCCAATCACACGCTCCTTCATGTCTCAAATTGTTGAGCTGTAAAGTCACTTTTAATAATATTATTAGGCAAACATCTGGTGAGCGGTTCAGGCCCGGTGTGACTACCAAAGGTAAAGCACTCGTACCTCGTGTGCCGTCAGGTTTGGGCTTTGTATCAGTAATCGGGTCTCACTGTAAACACACTTCAATACCACTCTGACATAAAACGACACAAGTCTTACTGTAATGCCAGATTTTATTTTAAATGTGCTCTTCAGTTTGTTGTTGTGCATTAGATGTTTTTGCACAAACTCCACATCAGGTCAAAAACAAACTCCGATGTGGCTTCAGGGGTTTGTGATAGAGACGATGTAGGAGAGCAAGCTGAGGGCGAGCCGTGTTCCCGGCGCTCAGCTGCAGACCTGTTTGGATGATGCCAGCCACCTTTTAAAGAAGGTGTTACACTCTTCTCCTTTTAGAGAGAGAGAGAAACAAGAGCTTGCTGCTCATCCCACACTGCCCGTTTCTTTATTTTTCTGTCCTGGGCTGATTTTCTTTCTTTTTTCAGTTCTTCTGTGGGGGGGGGGACCCGGACAGTTAATACTGTGAGACTTGTTCACCTCTTGGTTTGGCTTCCTCTGCTCTGTCGCTCCAGAACACAATGATTTATGTCCTTAAACCTCTGTGTAATCCTTCACACACAGGCTGAAGTGGACATAGTCTTTCACATTTTGCTGAAGGCGTGCCTGCAGACCCCGCCCACCTTCATTCTGTTTTAAGACATTTCGGTTTTAATGAAAGGCCCGAGGCTCGCAGAGTGTCGGGATTAAAATGAGAAATCTTAAATGCTCGTCTCTGCTCTCGGGTCCTTCTTTAAAACTGCTTTCGCTGAATGTGGAAGTTGAGCCTTTCGTGCATTTTCTGCGGACAGAAACTCGTACGTGACTGAAGAGGAAGAGGCACTCGTGTTCATCAGCAGTTTTAAATGCTTCTGTGTTCAAGTTAATTTAATGGCCGATGGTGCTTTAGACTGATATTTATCTTTGATATTTGGCAGGTTTTTGCATGTTTGAAGCTCTGCATGTGGCTCTGAGTGGATCAGGGGTATTCATTATTAATGGGGCTGATTGTGGAAGTCTTTACTGAAACGTGCAGTAAAACCTGAAACCATGTCTCACCGCTGCAGAGGGCGAACACGTCTTAAAGCTGCCGGGGGGGGGGGTTAGATCAGCAGGTCTGGCGAGCTGTGAGTGGGCTAATCCCCACTTACATAAGCTGAGACATGTCGAGTGTTCCTCTGACAGAAACAGAGCAGAAAGGCAATCAGAGGTCATGTGACTGTGGGTTTTAATCTGGTTGCTCTTCAGGCTCGTCTGGTTAAGCAGCTGCTTTCATGTGAAGACTTCATCTTCCAGCAGCGGGTGGAGTACAAGCAGCGGGTGGAGTACAAGCAGCGGCTCCTCACCGTCTTTCTTAAATCAGTGGCTAATGTTCCTCGGGCTGTGCGGTGTCAGTGAGTCACTGCTCAGAGAGCTGAGTGAAAGCTGTGAACAAGTCACTGATTGTTCTGACATGAACACCGGGAGTGATGCCAAGTGAGCCGTGAAAACCAACGCAGGTTTTCAGCCGATGCTGGCTTTGAAGGGAAACGCTGATCTGACAGAGTGAAAGTATTTTTCATATCGGTCAGTCTCGCAGAATACAGCAGAGCCTGAAACCATCGACACGCCGTCACTTTATCCCTGCTGTGATTGGTGGTTGGAAAGCTCGATGCAGCCACACTGAAGTCGTCCATCGGTCTGTCCATTCAAAGCGATCCTGGTGGATTGAAACCGGACGCGTGTGCCGCCTGATCATCCCGGATAATCCTCTCTGGTCATTAGACTGAGCGCGTGCAAAATTAACCGTTTCATTAATTTGACCTCGCAACCATGAGGTGTTCTTTCTCTACTCGATGCCCCCTGGTGGCAGCATAAGAGCAGTTTTTTTTGTTTGTTTTTTTTTAAATCTGTTAGTTTAAATTCTGTTTCAAAATAAGAGCCTGCAGGTGTTTCACTATGATAGATTATTGGCAAGTAAGAAAATTAAAACTAAAGCCACTTTCACCTTTGACCTTCAAACAGTTTTGTGACAGTCAGGTTTGGATGATTTCATTTTTCTCACAGGAGCAAACTGTGGTTTCAGACACACAGGCAGCGTGTCAAAGTTCATCCGGTGCTGTCTGTGAACGTTTCAGCGCTCAAAGCGTCCGATTTAAAATCTTTGCACACTTTTTTGTTCTTCTCGTTGCAGTGAGCTTCCTGCTGCTGCTGCCCGGCCTGAACCAGCACGGCATCATCACGAAGTACGCCGGCATGGCCAAGAGGGAGATCAACAAACTGATGAAGCAGAAGGAGAAGAAGAACGAGTAGATGAGCGTTCGCTGTGAAGAGGGGAATCTCTGCAAGACGAGAAAACGCAACAGGACGATGGGAAAGTGGAGGAAAGTGAAGAAAAAGGAGCAGGGGAGTTTAAAAAGTCCTCCTGCTGCCCGGGTCTCTGCACTTTGTTTTGATTTTCACACAGTTTCATTTCTCACACACACATTTAAACCTCATCACACACAAGGTTTTATTTTGCTTTTGAATTAACCTGCCATGCATGCTGCCACCAAATGAAGGTGATCACACGTGGAAATGTCCCAGTCAAACATCATCCTTCTGTTTCTTAGATCAGCTGTGCTTCGCTTGAAGGCGTCGATGCTTTCAAAGCCGTTCCCTCTACTTAGACTACTGAGCAGTTTGTGTAGCATTGCTGCCTCATTTTAACCTCTCAGACAGCAATGATTTTTTTTTTTTGGGGGGGGGGATTAACAGCAGGTCTTTTTACGTTTTTGTGCTTCTTCTGCTTCACTTGTTTGAATTTAGTGCTGAAAACAAAACTGGATTTGAAGCGGAGCTGAAACTGTTGGTAGAGACAGGCCTACTGCTGTACCGCTGCTAGCTGGACTCTGTTAGTGCTGGGATGAAACCCCACAGTGCGTCGGTGACGTGGGGCGTCTCTGTAAATAGGCCCCACCCTTTCTTCTCTGTCCCCGTCTGTCCTTTTCTTGTTATTTATGTGTTCGTTTCTCCTCAGTCTTCTTATTTCTGGTATTTCAACTCATTTCATTATTTGTGTTTATTGGAGATCTTTACACACGAATAAAGTGATTTAAATGAGGTTGTTTCTTGGTCTTCATGTGTGTGAGCCCTGCCCTCCTTCCAGACCTGCACTGTCCTGACCGTTGGCAGCACACCTGCGCCGTGTATTCTCAGGACCAAACACCTCACAGCTCCACAGTGATCCGACCCACTGATCATTGGCACGTTATTGGAGCACAGTGGGAGTACAGGATTGAATATTTCTCTCAGATTTGAAGCTTTTATTGTTGGTTAAACTGGGTGGGGGGCTTTCATTAGTGGCTTAGGACCCTAGATTTCTGGGTCCAGTAGTGATATTTGGATGAGAGGGTGATGGCATTAGCTGATAACTTGGCAATCACCACACACTGTATGCTTGTATCACACAGACCTGCTGATTAGTAACAGCCAGAATTTCACCAATATTTCTTGCCGTGTCTGTTAGTACCTCACAGCAGCCATGTCATTGGTCAGATGATGCTATGAAAATGCTAGCAGCTACAGCCACCTGTGTCTCACCTGTCCGGCTGTAAACGTGTTTATTTATGCTGTAAAGCTGGCGGTCGACTCCCTGCTGGAGCCTCTCGTGGGCTTTGGACTTTAGTATTTCTGTGTTTTCCTGCCCATCTGAGCCCCTTCAGTTAAAGTTCACTTATTGTTTCTGTTCACTGAGTCCTGGAGGAGAAATGCTGTTCCTGCATCATATGGGAATGCTCTGAGAAGCATCTGCAGACCACAGAGTCCTGACAGGGTTTGCACATTTAATGGAGGTTTGCTGTGGCGTTACTTCCTATCAGTAGAGTCTGAACGCAGTACAGTCCGTCTCCCAGCGTCTGGTCGCCCACAGCTGCTGATCTCTGGACCGTCTGGACTTCCTCGGCTCAAACACCTGCGTCGGTTCACCTGCAGACAGGGAACAAATGTCCAAACAGCAAAGCTAAAAATCAGTTTATTCCTCTGTAATACTTTGAAAGTATTATTTCTGTGGTAGTCCTCATATTGTATGCACAGTTATTACTGGTAGTTTTTATTAAGTTGCACACAGCAGAGATTAATTATCCTGATATTCTGTTTTTGCTGCAATTTTCTGTACAAAGCAGGATTGCTAAAACAGTTTGCCTGTTAAGAAACGATACGATTTTGATGGCATTACTGTGGCTGAGCGCGCCGCTCAAAGACGGCGCTGCGCGGTCCGTTATTACTGTGACCACAAGGACACAAGCTGTGAGCGTTACCTGTCAGGATGTCGTGTCGGTGCCGCTGTGTCTGTCTGCCGCTGGCCTGCAGTGACGAGCCGTCGAACTCCGGGGTCGGGTGCTCCGTCCTGTAGGTGCTCTGGCACTCGGGTGGATGATGCTGATGATGACTGATGAGCTCTCTGATGGCGCGGCTGCTGTTATACCGAGTCCAGTTTTCCAACTTTGGGTCGACTCTCTGGAGAGAAGCAGAAGCTGGTTCTGTCCTTAATATATAGTCATAATATTTCATGACAGCCAGTAGCTTTACTTTAATTCATGTATAAGTTATTTTAAAATTTAGATAAGTCTAAAATAAAAAGTTGAAATTAAAGAAAGTCTCCCAAACATAATTTTAATCATAACGGAGGGAAGATTTGGCATTAACTGATTTCTTCCCCTAATAAAATATGCTTCTAATGCAGGTAAATGATTCAGGGTCCAGGCAGATCATCACCACCAGGATGGTCATGTGACAACTTACTGAGATAAAAGCTGGGATGAAAAAACTGACTACAGAAAGACAACAGATCGAAACAACTCTGACCTCTTAACTGCATCAACACAAAGAAATAAAGCATGTTAATATTCCCTCATTCATGCAGGCACAGAAGAAGAGTTCTAGAAATATGATGGAAGTAAAAATGTAAGTAGATAAAAGACTTAAAATACAGAGTCTGTCTTTAACCATCTGAAAGACGGTTTTCCGCCTCACCGGAGTCACGTGCTGGGGCGCGTACACCTCTTTGCTGTGTGACTGCAGCACACTCTGCGGCGGCATGTTGTTGTCACGGAGATCCAGCTGGCTGCGGTGCTGGGAGGGGAAGCTGGGGTCTCTGAGGCGGAAGACGAGAGGACGTCCATCGACCGACCTGCCGGAATAACTCTGACCAGGAGAAGAGGAGAGGGAAGGGCTAGAATCGTACCCGAGAGCTGGATTTGTAGGACGTTTAAACGTATACATTACTGACATGTAAAATAAAACCATTAGAACTTGTATTCTATTTTTAGTGAAAACATAAAATCTAAGAAGGTAGAGATTGACTAATCAGATGTGAACTGTAGAGACTGTGGATGCGTGATGATCCACACGAACAGCGACTGTACGGAGGAGACCTGGGTGTGGGTGGTGGTGTAGCAGGGCGGCGTGTCGCCCAGGCTCAGGGTGCTCTGATGCATGGGTCTCGGTCTAAAGCGCTGAGGTTTATGTTGGCAGCGAGGACCACAGCGGGCTGAAGCCGGGCTGACGCCGTCCATCGTCTCGTCCTGTGCCTCGGTCACAGTGCAGTCAGACCTCTGCAGCTCTGTCAGGCTCAGGTGTAACTGCAGCTTTTCACTGTGTTTGTACAGAAATCAAAGGACCTGCTTCTTTGAGCATGAACAACACTTCACCGTTAACACTTAAAATGTCATTCATCTACATTTAGAATAACAAAAGATAAACATAATCTTACAGGTACAAACCAATCGTCTAATCACAATCGCAACAATTCACACACCCTGCCACTCTGTTAGGTACACCTGTTCAACTGCTCAGTGACAAATGTCAGTCAAACACATGGCATCAGCTTGTGTGTGTGAGAGAATGCTGTTTTTCTTTTAAGTGCACACTTAACCACCTTTTTATTAAAAAGTCAAACTTAACAGGCCCAAAAAGACAGAAAGATGCTTCATCCAGAACCAGGAAACAAAAGGTAAAATATCCAAAAGTAAAACAGTAAAAACTGGAAACAATAAAAGACTTAGGGAGAGGGAACAGTGAAAACAGACAGGAGAGAAGGGAGGAATATACGAGGAAACGATAACGAATAAACCAACCGTAGACCTGAAACACATCTCTGGAAAGATCACACAGTAAAAACAGGAAGCAAAGATGGCGTCACAAGAACTAAGAAACAAGAATCGAAAACTAGGAAACACCAGTGACTCAAGTCCAAGTTCCCAGACCGCTGAAAGGGACACGACCATGGCAACCCCCGCAGACAAACTGCCTGTTTCTTCCTGTTGACAGTGAACATGTAGTAAAATCACAGATGTGGTGACCTCAGCACAGTCACCACACAGGACGCTCTCATATACAGAAAGCTGACAGAGATGTGTTCGATCATTACAGCAGGAATCACGCTCTGTAGCGACTTACCTGTGATAATGAAGCTTGTTTCTGTGGAAACATGTTGCCACGGTGATGAAAACAGACGGGTTTACTTTGACATTTTCTCTCTGGAAAGTGATCCTGCTTTATCATGTGCAGACCTGCCTTTTACTCCTGGACTGTTAGATGGAAAATAAAAAAAATACATTTACTGTATCTTCAGAATAAAACATCTCTGATGAAACTGAATGCGTTTATTTGCTCTCACAGGTCTCCCGCTATCCAAATGAAGGCACTTGTTCCTTTGTCCATGCATGTTCAATGCAGTGATGGCCACTTTTATGGATTCTCCTTCAGCAGTGAGATCTAAAGGACAGAGAAACACCCCCCGAAATGTGACCAGGTTTTCTCGGGAATAATCTGCCCTCACACATAAAATCCAGTGTTTACAAATTTAAATCAGCTCTAAATTATATGGAATCTATCTTATCTTATCAAGTCCACAGTGTGTGTTTTCTGACTGGACTGACACCTAAATAGATTCCCAATTTATGGCTTTTAACCCCCAGAAAGATTTTGATCTCTGACCTTCAGGACAAGACCCCATGGTGGATGGGTGGAAATTACTTATAGAGCATTTTAGAATTATGTTTGCTACTCAAACTAGGTTTGTCATAACTATTATTTCCGTCATCATAAATGCACTCACTTTCCTTCTGAAGAAAAAACGAAAAGAAATGATTAAAAATGATTTTTATTGTTGTTGTTACTAAAATGATACTGTATTACTATCATTACTATTAATCTACTACTATTTTGTGTTATAAGAAGTCACATCTCATCACATCTTGTGATGATGGACCAGTTTTCACCTGACATAAAACTAAACATCATCGATACTGCTGCGCTCCCCCTGGCGGGCGGCGGAGGTACAGCAGCTGAAGACGGCGGCGCTAGTGGGTCGAGCTTCGTGTCGATTCGTCCTCTTCTTCGGTTTAATCATCCAACGACGCGTTGTTTGACCGAGAGAAAGGCCGAAGCGGCGCTGTCTCCGTGTAAATGGCGTCTAACGGTAAGAGAAACGGGCAAATCTGTCTGGGGTCTGGAGCCGGTTAGCTAAAGATAGCATCACCTTCACCTGCCGGTGAACAGAGGACAGCTAGCGGCTAGCTGCAGTTTAAATGGCTCTCTGGGGGCGTGGCGTCCATCCTTTATTATCACATTTAATTCATGCAGGCCTTACGCCACCGTTTGTCCGGCTGCACGACCGCCCCGCCGCCTAGCTTCGGTTAACTCTGAGTAACCGAAGCTGCTGCGGTCCGATTAGCTCGCCGTTAGCCCGGTTTTGCTGCTGACCCAGTTTCTGGTGGCTCACTGCGGTCTCGAGCAGAGTAACCGCCCCCCTGTGCCGATCGCGCTGCTTTAACCCCTGTCCTCGGTTTATTAGAAGGACATCAGAGCGGAGACCGAGCAAACCCAGCTCACCTACACCGGGCGGGTTCAACTCAACCCCAAATAATGAAAGACATTTCATTATTAATTTTTTGGCATCTGTGGGCTGGATTATTAATCTGTCAGGTAAAGAGCCTGCAACAACACAGAAACAGTCACACGGCCCCCTGTGAGGAAAAGTCCTGTTAACAGGAAGAACCCTGCGTTAGTACCAGGATCAGGGAGGAGCAGCCATCTGCCTGATGGGGGTGAGGGGAGGGAGCAGCAGGCTGGGTGTTTGAACTGGAGGGTAACCGACAGGGAGGGCTTTGCTATTCCAGAAAAACACGAAACCATAAATAAACAGGCCGTAAATATTTCCAAACATATAAGCACAGGACACTCAAAGTTTATAGTTATAAAAGGGCGACTGTGTTTGATTGGATCAGTGAACTCACAACACACACACTAGGGCACAATATCCTGTCACATTTTCATTTGTGTTGCTATTTTCATGCAGTGTCATGCTTTAAAGCTCGCTGCACACACCGCTGAGACACAGAGATACTTCTGACCTGCACAGGAAGCTGCACTGATGTGAACTGCATCATTAAACTGAGCTGCACTGCAGCAGCTTATCAGCAATATGGGTGTTTTTCATTATGTGATTTAGTGTAACTTATAGCTGAAGTGTGTCATTAGGATTCAGCTGCACAGTGACTTGGTTGGGAGGATCAGGACCCCCGAGGCTCGTCCATAACACCGAGCTGGGGGTAAGAGAGCAGAGACAACAAATGATAAGATGCAGAGTGGTGTGAGCGAAGAAGAAATGCTCAGTGCATCATGGGAAGCCTGTCGGTTCGGGATCACCCGATCCAGCCCTAACTATGTCACTAAACAAAAGTTTTAAGCATAATCTTAAAAGTACTGAGTGTGTCTCTCTCCCACATCCAGACTGATCTGACAAATTTGAATTCAGTGGATTTGGTGTCTGGTTTTTAATGTATTCATAAATAGTTTCACAGTGTTGCAGTCTGAAACACTTTAAATCGTCTGTTTTTGTTAATTATGTTCAGTTTGAATAGATCTCCCGGACATGGATTGAATCTAGTCCCAGACTAAAAGAGAATCAGTTTTAGTCCATGTCATGAAAACGAGCCTAAGTATTACCAGTTTCCATTTCTGGATGATAAAAAGCAGTGACGTGGCCTTCTTAAAAAGTGTTTCTACAGATAGAATATAGTTTATTCATTTAATAATTACCATTAAAATGTGTCTTATATAGTTACTGTTGAGTTTGTGAGGTTATAGATTATGTCTGATGCTGTTTGGATGTTTTATTGCTATCATCAAAACTGACTTTAATATTAACCCTCTCTGGTTTTTCCCACAGATTATTCCCAAACATCTAGCCAGGGGTAAGTTATGTAAATCATGTCTTTATTCATTCATGAAGCTTTCAGTCATTCAGAGTAAATACATTTAGGTTTTGAATTTGGGTTAAAACAAGAAAAGTAAGTCCTTGCATTTAACTGTGGAAATGATTTTGTTTTGTAAGTCAATGAAAACAATTTGAAACGGTGTATTCTTGGTTGGTGTGTGCAGCTATCCATCCTATGGTGGAGGTGGCGGTGCTAGCCAGGGCTACGGTCAGTCGTCTGGCCCGGGTTACGGCCAGCAGGGCTACGGAGGCTACAACCAGAGCTCGGACAGCAGCTCCAGCTCCTACAGTCAGGGAGGCTATAGCGGCTACGGCCATCCTCAGTCAGGTAGAGGAAGCCCCAACGTCCGCCCAAATCCACAGTCACTGTTTTCCAGTCAACTGTGAATCAGTTTCCTTTTCCCAGGTGGATACGGGTCTCCATCCTCCAACCAGGGTGGTGGTGGTGGTGGTGGGTATGGTCACTCAAGTCAGTCCTACAGCTCCGGTGGCTATAACAGCAGCAACCAGCCGTCCAGCATGAGCTACAGCCAGCAGTCGTCATTCTCCGGGTACAGCCAGCAGCAGCAGCCTCCTCCTCCATCCTCTGCGAGGTATGCTCACGTTCACCTCGCCTTTAATTCACTGATTTCTGCCCCATCTGCACAGCGGTAGTGTTTAGGAGCAACCACAAACCTCACTGACTTTACCTGCGGTGTGAGAGAGGAGGATGCTGGGATAGCAGGAGATGGAGGCAGGTGAACTACTTTAGCGAACCTTGATAGAAGCAGTCAAAAAAAGAATAATTTAAAGGCCGCATTCGTCTTTAGTTTTAAATAATTTTGGAGTGCAGTTAGTTTTTGTTGTTTGATGGTGGTCAGAACACTCCTGTAATAAAAATCAAATGTTCATACTGGTCCCCAGTATAAAGTACAACATAAGCCGAGCTCAGTCTCAGTAATTCAGTGCTTATCTCTATGATACTAATCCTAATAAAGCAGGTGCTCTGTTTTTCATTATATTATAGGTCAGCCTAGAGGCCGAACTAGTTTAAATCGAATAGAACTTTAAAAAGGCGCCTGTACTGCAGTTTCATGTGAGTACAGCAGGGGGCGCTCCAGTTATAGGAGCAAACTTCCTCTGTGGCGACCTCAGCTCTCTGCTGATCGCCAGGTATGTGTCCTTTGAAGCCAGCGTGGACTTGCAGACGGTGACCCTTTTAGCTAATTTCATCACACAAAGCCTCTTTTTAATTAGTTCAGGTGTGTCGACGTGCACGTGTCCGCTGCCACCTGAACTTCTCTTTACCCCTCTGTTACTGCGGAGGCCAAACATGCTTTCATTTGCATTGTGTTCATTTTGAGGACATTCAGACATGTTCAAGTTCAGTAAATGTTTGTTCATTTACAGTCAAATCATTTTTGGCCCTTAGCTGTAAAAGGCTGATGAGCCGCCAAGTGAATGATCGAGATTACAGCATTGAGCAAAATAATCAGGATTAAGGTTTTCACCATAATTGAGCAGCTGCAGTTTGAGTCTCTCGTATGTGAGCTGCCATGTTGCTTTGTAGTCTTTAACACTTCCTGTTTTCTAACAGCTATGAAGGCAACTCGCCAGCTCCCGCCTACCAGCCACCGAGCAGCGGAGCGAGCGGAGGCAGTTACGGCAGCAGTGGAGGGCAGCCTGGTGGTAACTACGGGGGCAGCGGAAGCCACCCACAACCGTCTCAGCACGGAGGAGGTCACTACAACCAGCCGCCGAGCTACAACACCCCTCCTCCGCCGAGCTACAGCCAGCAGAGCCAGTACGGGCAGAGTGGAGGTGAGGGCTTGTGTAGCTGTTGATTACTGATTGAAAGCACATCAGTGTTTGGTCTGCTGAGGTTGGAACTTCCTCTCAGGATATGGAGGCGATAGCCCGCCGATAAGTGGAGGAGGAGGCGGAGGATACGGTGGTCCTGATGGAGGTTATGGAGGTCAGGAAGGCCGTGGGGGCAGGGGCCGCGGTGGAGGCGGATTTGGAGGCCGTGGTGGTGGCGGATACGATCGAGGTTTTGACCGAGGCGGCCGAGGTGGTCCAAGAGGAAGAGGAGGCATGGGGTAGGTGTTATCAATCATTGACTTATGAGTCACAGAAGCTCAGGGCTGTGCTACATCTTAATGTCTCCACCCATCTGGTTTTACATGGAGCCGCACTACTTCTTCTTTTTCCTGTAAAAAAAAAAAAAAGAAGTAGTGAATCATATTTACACCTCTGACCTCACCTGCTTGTAAGAGTATGTAATCCTCAGTGCTGCGAGAGATCCCGTGGAGCGCCTCTCCACCCAGCCCAAAAACGCTGAAGACCACATTGCTAAAGGTCCAGTGAGTCGACATGTGGTTGAAAAGTGAAAGAGCCAAAGCTGTGAATCATCTCTGCAGACTCCTCACACGATAAAACAGATTCAAACCCAGACCCTGCTGCTCTGAGGCCACCTGACCACCTTACCACCAAATCAAAAAGAAACATGAAATGGCCACAAAAAAGCAGTGTGTTCTGAAACATTACAGTACTCACAAGAACAGGTGAATGAAACTCATCTTTGAAAACAGAAGGTGGAGGCAGCGAGGACAAAGTGTGACCTTAAACAGGCTTATTTCATCTGCCTGCAGGTGTGTTTTTTACACATTAAGAGCACAAAGGTAAAAGTTTTAAAAGCCAACATCTGTGCTGTGATATCAGCTCGTCCTATAAAAGAGAGGACGTCCACTCAGCTGGGTTTTCTTGGTTCATGGTGGTTTGCGTTGTGGTCCGGTTAACTCTGTGCAGACCCGCCTGACAGTGTGATGAGGTTAAAAACAAATAAAAAAAATCTGGTCAAGAATGGATCAGTAAGCCAAAAATGAGAGGTTCACAGCCAGAACACAAAAACAACACACAGCCAAACTCGGTTCCTTTTATTTTGAAAATCTGCGCTTCACTCAGCGCTACTTTGTGGCAACATGGGTTGAAAGTACTGTTTCCTGTTCTGCTTAGTCAGTGCAAACACAACAGAATGATCGGTGCTCTCTGATCAGAGAGGATGAAGTAAATCGCATAAACTGCCAATGTATGGATTATTTGTTCATTATTGAAGTATTGATGTTATTTCTATGGAGCTGTAACGTCTGACAGGGTTCATTCAGTGTTTTGTGCCATTAAGCACAACAGGTGGCACGCCTGTCTATTCCAAAACAAATTCATAAATAATAAAGATACAGCTTGAGACAATAAATAAGGAAGCTATTATCAGCTGCCTCTTCAATAAGATCCTCGTCACCTGGCTGAACTTCGTCTCGTCTCCAGCTCTGATGCCTCAGTGAGCTCGGCGTCGTGGCAGAATCTGGTTAGTGTGGACCTCCGTTTAAAAAAACTAAACAAGAACTGCCACCAGCTGCAGTCCAAGAGGGTGGAGTCAGGCGGAGCTGGAGTCAAATGTACTCCAAGCTTGTTCAAGTCTGTCCAGCTCGAACTCCAGAGTGATGGTGACACACAGTAGTGATGCGGCCATCGAACTATCGACTGTGAAAACGCGAGCATGGCCCGCTATGTTTACAGTGCCAGCACTTTCAAAATAAAAGCAAAGGAATTGTCTATGAATGCCGATGAGGCTGTAGTCTTACATGGATGTGTTAGGGTTATTTTTAGGGTTAGGATAACCCTAAAGTATGGGACACACTGAAGATGCTGGGATGTGATTCAGATTTTTTCAATTTTCATTTTCAATAGAATGATTGTTTTAATACCACTGACTCGATTAATCTGTTCCAAGCTTTGAGAAGAAAAGATGCAAATGTAAAAACGAAGGCTGATACAAATCAGAAACCACAACCACAAAAATTCCAAACAGCTCAGGAAAAACTGAATTCAATATCATTCATTCGTCACACATCACTGTGAATTGTTGTTGGTTATTCTCTCAGCTCTGATCCAGCACTGGGAAAACTACGTGCTAGTAAAAGTTACAGGTGCACTAGCAGGATGCTGTAATAAGGCTAATGCACAAAAGAAAAGTGCACGGCCACGGGTAATTGGTGTTAATACCCAGAGGTCTGAATACTTGCAGAGGCCTCAGTGGTTTTGGGTGAAGCTGGATTAAAACAGCAGAAATGGATAATGGGTTGGAGCAAAGCTTCGTAAAGCCAATGAATTAAATGTACAGAACAAAGAACAACAGCACTGATTGCTTGAAGCTGTGAAGCATAAACCGGTAAGTTGATGTTTTTGTTCTTCTTACGAGGTTACGTAGTCTCTCGTTTTCTTCTTTGTGACCTCATGATGTTAGAGCTGGACTCAGATAAACTAGTTTCCCATTCCATTATGTATTTTCTCATCCATCGTGTACTTCCTGTACATCTCCTTCCACACTGGGTCATCTTGATATTCGCCACAGTGAGAACTAATCAGCTGATAAATCCAAGTTTACAAATGACTTTGGGGTATTATCAGTTTTACGATGGATGAACAGGTCAAAGAAAGATAATGGTATGTGTGTTGTGCCACATCTGGAGTTCAGTAATGCCATTCAGCTATAAATAGTAAAGTATACAGTTGCTTCAGAAAGTATTCAGACCCTTTGCACTCTTTTTGTTTTAAAATACATTTTTTATCTGTAATTAATACTTTGTCCATCGATCTATTTTCTGCTACTTACTTGGTCCAAGTCATTGACCGGGCAACCAAAGATGCCGTACGGCGAGTTTTTCATCTTTGCTTGTGTCTGAAATGTTTCTATAGAATAAAGTGTGACCTTCACTCTGCCTACAAACTAACACACCTCAGTATATCACCATCACCTGCCTTTTTCACCTGTTACCACCACCTTCCCCACCAGCCCTTGCAGGTTTGCTGTACCATACTCTGCTTTAATCACTCTTTGAATCTTCTCCTAGGCTTTTACCTTCTCTCCAGGCTGGCTTTCTGCTCTTAAGCCATCATTTGGAAAATCACATTATGGGGAAGTCAGATTTAATAGTCTTCTAATAACACAGGATATATTACTTAAATACTAATCAGTCATTTTGGAGAAAAGTCTCAAACACTTGGGAATTGCTGCAATTTGTGTAAAGACAGGGTGTCTACGGGTCCTTAAAAAAGACTTGAAACTCTAAAAACTGCTAAAGAAGAATAACATTTTCTTGAATTCAGTTAAGTGGGTCTCAAACATTTTAAAATCATGTCACTGAGACAGTTTCCAAGACACAAAGCTGCTATTTTGGCCTCCTCTGCATAATTAGGTAATGTGACCGCATTAATTTTTAGAAGCCGACGCTGTACCTGCGAGAGAGCATCAAATGATGTGTAATCTACCTGGTGAATAGCAGCTAATGGTTTGGTCTGCTGGAAAGATATCAGCTGAAGAGAAAACGGGTGGGGTTGGGTTTGCTACACACTTTTCCACTGGCGTGTTCTTACCAGCTTAATTTTATAGAAAGGTATAAATATCAAAGTACTTTCACTCGCTGGGTGAAAAAATTGTGCCTCATTCAGTTCGGTTTTATTTATATAATGCAGTTTAGAATGAAAGGCATGTCATGGATAATTTTACCCTTTTAAAAGTATAATTTTTAGCTTTACTTTGTGTAAAAATCATTGCAGACAGTAACTGTTTTATCTCAGGATAAAAATACATAAGTACTTTAAGTTAAAGCCCAGTGAGACCCAGCCTCAGGCCTGAGCACGGTAGAGAGGCCCTGCTGTCCAACCTGCTCAATGATCGAAAAGGAAAGAAGGTCAAACACACGTGAATAAGAATAAAAACACTTTTGGCTGTTAAACCTGTGGCTGAAAATGCTGATAGAGCAGTCTGCGCCGTGTTGTTCAGACTCGGGAATAAAAACAAATGAAAATTTGACCTGGTGTCAGTGTGTTTTCACCTTTGTGTTACTCAAAGTGAAATCTTTAAGGTCTGAAGGTTCTAAATTGAAGTCGTTCATACCTGTAGACACCCTGTGTTGAGTGAATAAAGGTTTTCCGAGACCTTTAAAGAAACAAACAAACAGCACCCACCAAGGGATCAGAGCTCTGATGTTTGGGTTTGTTAATTCTCTTATGATGAAATAAATGGAACCTGAAAGTTTTTACATCTTCTGAGTCAGAAATGCAAATTTCAGCTAACAGGGTTTGTACACTGGCCTCTTGTCCATGGGTTACATCAACATGCAGTAAGGGTACATTTGGACAATGCCAGCGAGGAGGGGTGGGTTTAGCAAAGACGCTGTGAGAGTGAAAGTTAACCTCAGCCCATTGAGAGAAATCGCTGTCAGCTCCAGCCTTCAATGCGTGTCGTTTTTCTCTTCCTCTTCATCAGAATGGGCGATCGTGGAGGATTCAATAAGTTTGGTGGTAAGTGACAAAAAACTTCAACACTTGAGTGAAAAGGTGTGTCAAAGCTAAAAGGGAGTAAGCTCAAACTCTGGTACTTCAAGTGTGGCTTGGGGGATAAAACTTGATTCTGTCTGAAAAGCTGAAGAAAAAACAGCTATTTAACAGTGAAGGTCAGGCGAATGTTAAGACTTTTGATGTATACTGTCTCTAGCATGACTGTACAGATAATAACACCCATCGTGTTTTGTGTGTTTGACTTGAAATGTCCATCGGAGGGAGTTAAAACTGCATCATTAGCCCTTCCACTGCTCCTCTGGCACTCGGTGTTTGAATTTGAAGTGTGGATGGTGACAAACTCAGTGACTGAAGTGAGATAAGTGTTGCTTACCTTATCGTGTTGTGCAAACGTGACAAATCGTGTTAAATAGATGAAATGACCCTAAATGGTTTTTAAGGCTTGGCTTGAAAACCTGTTGACAGATGTTTTGATTCTGTTGTACTTTCCACCAAGGACGGTTGAAAGGTAAAAACTGGTTGGGTTGCACACACTGGGAATTTTTTTCACATGACACTGACTCTGGAACTCACGGTGATGAAAACTGAAAATTCTTGGTTCAGTTGCAAATCCATTTGGAACAATAGAACAAGATGCATGAATGCTTAGTCATACCCTCAGATCTGGGTTGATCGTATAGAAAGGCGGGCATGCTTTAGCTTTGTTAAAGTAGTTGCAGGTTATTTGTTTACAGTAAGAAAGCCCCTATCTAAATTCTTACCACTGCATCCGAGAATATGCTCATTCAGGCTGAAGAGGGTTTTGCTTTTGTTCTTTTGTGATCATAAAGAGATTAAGTAGTAATGGCGGTGACTTGATGCATTCCACTGTAGTTCTACATGTCTGTGTAGACTCTGTCAGTGCGCCCCAGGGTGGCTGTGGCTACAATGTAGCTGCCATCACGTGTGTTTGAATGGGTGGATGACTGGATGTGTAAAGCGCTTTGGGGTCCTTAGGGACTAGTAAAGCGCTATATAAATACAGGCCATTTACCATTTACCATTCTCAGTCATCCAGTCATGGTAGTTTTGAGAGCTCGAAAAGAAGGTGACTGGACTTCGTTGGGTTTGCAAAGATGTTTCACCTCCCATCCAGGAAGTGAAACTCCCTTCAGTTCTAGAAACTAGAGGTGGAGAGTCCCAGGCATTTAACCCACAGTGGGGTAGCTTTTGAGAATGTTGAGAATGTCAAATTTGAGAATTTGACAAGATAAACGTTGGTTTGAAAGAGGCCATCTATGCCTACTCTGAACGACGGCTCATGTGACACCTGCAACGGTCAGCAGTGGGAACTGAAGAAGCCTTTTGGATGAGAGGTGAACGTCTTCACAAACCCAAAGAAGTCCAGTCATAATCTTTTTTTCAAGCCCTTCAAACTGTTTGGACAATATTTCTTGAAGGAAATGTTTTCAGTTGTTTACAATCCTGCTCATAAGAAGCACAAACTGACACGGATCAGAGAGTTTATATAAATGTGGGCTTTTTATTTAAATTACCAAATTATTTTAGTTAAGATTTACAGGTAGCACGCCCAACAAGGTTCTAGCAATAAATGGTGTTTACCCCGCATGGCCACTGTGTCTGTATTGGTATCATTCACCACCCAAAGATTACCACTCCAAGGCCAGTTTGAAGCAGCACAACAGCTGCGGAAAAAGCAAACGTATGCTGATTGAAAGGTGTTTTCATTAGAGACATTGTAAGAGCAAAACAGGGTTCAAAGAATGCCTTGCAAAAATCTCTGGGTAACTGCAAAGATGCTGGACGTTCTGCCCATCAATTATCTGCTTTAAATCAGCTGAACCTGAAAGTATGAAAAGTTTTCACATTTCTAGTCATTCTTTACTGGTTTTACTGGTGATTCTGTGATTCGGGGACTATTACAAAAACATTGCAGGAGGAGGCTCAAATAATCCTGAACAGAAATCTGTGGGGGCCTTCTGCATGGTCAGATATGGCGGTGGGCCACCCCTCCCACCATAGAGCCAATCAGAGTGCTGACTGTATCACTGGACTGGACTGAGCCAATCAAGAAGCTTTTCAAACACCAATCTGTGATCAGACTCGTAACATCTTTTGAATAATTCAGTTGGTGAGAGTATTTTTTTGGAAAAGTTAGAGCTCTTATTTATTCAGATAGGAACTTCATAATAAACTTGCTTCTAGGATGAGTTTTTTGTTTGTTTGTTTTAAATCCTGACCTTTAGATTGATGTTACGGCACTTCTTTTTTTTTGGATTGTTTCAGTAGGGCTTGGCCTTGTTTGCCCAAACTACTTGGAGATGTTGACCGGGATTCCTGCAAATGGCGAGACCCTGTTGTAGAAGGGCTGTAGTAATCTAATACATACTTACTTAACTCGAACTTTCTTTAAAGATTGTTGAGTAGTTTATTGTAGGGTTTAATCTCCCAGGCTCTGATTCTGCACTGTCCTCAGTGTGGATGGGATCGAACACCATTGTCTGCCCGCCTTTCTGCAGAAAACTTTGGAATCAGTTTGAAACAATAGAACAAGAGGTACGGATGCTTAGTCACATCCTCAGATGTGGGTTGATCATATAGAAAGGTGGGCGTGCTTTAGTATAATTAAAATAATCACTGGTTATGTGTTTAGTGTAGGAAAGTCCATATCTAAATTCTCACCACTGCATCTGAGAATAGATGCTCATATTCAGGCTTCTGGTTTTGGTCCGTTCTGATTCTTCCAGTTTACTCATTGCTGGGGTGGGATGTCTTTAAGATCCACAACATCACAAACATCACAAACACCAACGAGGGCGTATGCTTTCTAATGAAAAATCTTCAGTTTAGCTGCAATGTAAAGTTTTTTATTGTGCTTATGTGGAAGAGATGTAATAGAAAAAAACGTTTGTATTTGAGTTATTTAAAGAAATAAAAGGTCATGAAGTCATTGACCCCTGTTAGGGTTGGGCATTAACTTAAGGTTTTCCATCCAGCCAATAAAAGTTCAGCTATCTGCGACTACTGATATAATTGTGGAGAGGGTGGTGTCTAGTTTCCTGATTATTTCCTCATAAGATTCTCAGGGAGCCAATGCCAGATGCTCCACCCTAACCGATAGTTGTTTAATGTCAAAGATAGTTGAAAATGAGCTCAGTGAAAAATAAACTGGAAGCTGAAATCTTGATTTTTAGCTTGGGACACTGATGCCTGCTCATGTTAGTTACGGATCAGATTTTATTTTCTATTTTGGTTTTTTTATATTGGTTTCCTCAGTGAGTTGTGCCCAAAGACTGGTTCTCCTTGTTTGCACAGCCACAAACTAGAACAATATATTAAAAAAAGCCCCCAAACTAGTCTTTTAATCTCAGATGGACACGAGCAGGTCTGCTCCTGCAGGCGGTTTGCCTTTGGTGTCCGATAACCAGTCCCGTGTTTGTTTAAAGAGGGAGCATTGAGCCCAAGTTCCTTTCAGAAAAGTGACGGGACCTGATGCACTGAAGCGCTTCGTAAGGTGTTTGAGGTAATGTCTGAAAACCTGCACAGGTGAAGATGGTTTTCTGAGCGGGTTCAATTGTCAGAATGGCAAACATGGCGTTCGTGTTCCCAGGACGTATGTTTGAGCAGTTTGCAAGAATCCTTTGTTGAGCTGTGGGAAAACTGAAGTATCCAATGGGATCAATTAATGACATGTAGGGCTGTTCCATAGAAATTAAAACAATTGTGTTTCAGTGTGTTTGACTGGTTCAATGATTCTGTAATGTTGGTGTTAAAGAAAACGCTTCAACATGACTGCAGCAATTCTTAAAAAACCCAACATGTAAACAAACCACCTTTAAGGCTCTTTCCAAAGAGTCTGCGTGTTCTCGTTGGAGAAGAAAAGGACCAAAGCCAATGCACAGAAATAGCTACAAGGCAGTATCTCAATAAAGTGGACGGTTGTGTTTTTTACACTTGTTCCTGGGACATGGAGCCACTCGCTGACCTGAGTGGAGTGTGATAACGATGACGGTGAAGCGAATGAGCCGAGACATGAAAAACGTTCAGACAGATAAACCTAAAGAGAGTTTGATAGTAGTGCTGGATATACCTGTGGGGATGAGGTGTGCATGAAATGAATTAACTATTAGTTAGACCACTGTTTGTGTGTGATGGAACAGCTGACCTTTTCCACACCTAACATCTGTTTGTTTTTGTCCTTAAGGACCAAGAGAACCAGGACACGGAGGACCCGGCTTCAGTAAGTGTTTCCTGTTTTCTTTGTTCAGCTACCAGCAAAAGACAGTTTCAGTCGTTGGTGTGATGTCAGTCTGAGAGATGAACTAAAGCCAATAAATTCAGAAGAAACTACTACAAATATTTCCTCCTATGCCAAGAATTTAGCAAGACATGGTTCTCTTGGCTTTATAATTGGCAGACATTTTTCACTTTGTTTTAGTTTTCTTCCGATAATAAAGCCTACATTTACTGAGCACTTTTAGAGACACTTCTAGAGAATTAAGCCTTTTGGTAGTTCCTTTAGCACAGAGGTCTCTATCCCCTGTCCTCGAGAGCTGCAGTCCTGCAGCTTTTAGATGCGTCCTTGTTCCGAAACCCCTGAATCAAATGAAAGGCTTGTTGCCAGGCCTTTGCCAAATTTGATGGTATGCTGCAGAGCTAATTCAACAATTTTATTCGCCTGTGTTGGAGTAGGCATGCATGTAAAAGCTCCAGGACAGTAGCTCTCAAGGACACCCCTGCTTTACGCCATTGTTACTGCTTGAATTACATCACTTTATATGATTTTCTAACAGTGCAGGACCAGGATAACTCTGATAACAACACCATCTTTGTGCAAGGCCTGGGAGACGACTACACTGTTGAATCAGTGGCTGACTTTTTTAAGCAGATTGGGATCATTAAGGTAACATATTGATTTGTGTTTGGTCAGTAATCAATAAAGCATTTATTTGGATGTGTCATGTATAGATGACTGGTTAAAATGGTAAAGAAGCGCCGGCTTGATGTTGAAGTTTAACAAAAACTGGAATGAAGCCATTTTCTTTCTTGGTTCCCCGATCGCGTTGGCTCGTCATAAAATCTTATGTTACACTTCAGAAAAAGAAGAATTTCATCATTTGGAATCTAAATTCTATCCTTTAGTCTGATTTCCATGGTAACACACAGCACCTGAACTGTTGTGCTGTTCACAGTTCTGGTCCGTGGACTTTCATCCCTTTCCTTCTGTCCTCTTAGGTAAACAAGAAGACAGGCCTGCCCATGATCAACCTGTACACGGATAGAGAGACGGGGAAGCTGAAGGGGGAGGCCACGGTCTCCTTCGATGACCCCCCCTCAGCTAAAGCTGCCATCGAGTGGTTTGATGGTGAGTTATTACCTCTGAGCTTTGGCTTCCCCACTGTTTGAGTTTCTGTTGGTGGTTTAAGTGGTTTTATAAGGTTTGTATCTGGAAACTAGGCTTTGATGGAACTGACTGCTGAAGTATAAGACAAATATGGATTATGTTCACTGTAACTCATGCAAAGCTACTGTTGGAAAGTCCAAGAATATGGAGCTAGAAAGGAGCATTGATTTCATACCTCATATCTGATCCTTTGATATTCATCGCTTTACTCCAGGTAAAGACTTCAATGGAAACCCAATCAAGGTGTCCTTTGCCACACGCAGAGCTGACTTTGGAGGCCGAGGAGGCATGAGGGGAGGTAGAGGGCGAGGAGGCGAGTCACTTTCTTTTTACTTTTATTTTTATAAAGTGAAAAATTATAACCTTGTAAACAGCAGTCGGACCACACGGTGCACTTCACAGGTGAACTTTGAGTCGTAACAAAAATGCTCGTTTACTGTTTGCAGTGAATTAAAAAGCTTCAGCCTCGCACTGAACTATCAGTCACGTGTCCCGCTGACAGATGCTGTGGCGTTTTCTTCCGTGCAGGTCCGATGGGCCGTGGAGGGTTCGGAGGCGGTCGAGGGGGAGGTTTCCCAGGAGGCAACGGTGGCAATGGAGGGGGAGGAGGTGGTGCCAGTGGTGGAGGAGGGCAGCAGCGAGCCGGAGATTGGAAGTGTTCAAACCCGTGAGTTTCGATGACTCCTCTATGACAATAAATTAGAATTAAAAACACAACAAAAACATCTTGAACAATGATTGCTTAAAATATGATGCCAGATGTTTTAGTTTTGCTCAGTCTTACCTTTATTTAATGTAGTAATCTTTCTACGGATCTGTTATCAACATATAACAGTTCTTCTAAAGTCTTCCTTTCTTCTCTTCAGTAACTGTGGGAACTTGAACTTCTCCTGGCGTAATGAGTGTAACCAGTGCAAAGCTCCGAAAGCTGAAGATGCTGGTGGGATGCCCCCCATGGAGCGAGGTTAGATACACCTGGATAAATATTAGATAAATAAATAGGTGAACATTTGTTGACTCACAGAGTTTACTCAGACACTTAAAAAAGGCTTTACGCGTCTAACCGGGCACGCTCTGTTTTGCGTAACTATTTCTAAATCGCTGCAGAACCGGGACCACGTGAGCTAGCACAATAATTTGTTTTGCATATGAAACCAGAGGAGTTGTACTTACATCTGATGCCATCAGCTTGTCCCAGGTCACAGTTTCCTTCCACATATAGCTTTGCAAAAATAGCATAAAAAGCACTTGCAGGAACAAAAACATAATATTCCAGAAACACGCTTTGCCGATCCGATCAGCTGTTCGTAACACTTCCTACGTTGGAATATAGGTCAGCGCGAACAATCGCATGTCCGCCACTACCTGCCCGAAACCGGAAGTGACGTCTTTTTCATGGAAATTTTAGTTTTTTACCCTCGGGGCCTTATAAGCCTGTACTGGTGTTTTTAAAAGTCATGTTTGACTTTTCTGAATAGTTTCTGGGACGCTTAGAACTCAAATTGCACTGCTGAACATTTATTTTGATGCAGATGCTGCAAATGCAAATTTGCATTATAATATTTATTTTTGTTTTTCCTGCAGTATATAAAAATTAAAATAAAACTATGAAGACACTCAAAATAAATTTCCTGTTGTTAGAAACTATTTTGTGCAACTTTTTTGTATTTACAGTTTTGAGGGATAAGCCTCTTAAATTTCTCTAACTACAAATATATGTAAAAAAAACAAAAACCATTTCCAATTTTTGTAGTTTATTGCACATTTTTGCAATTTATGTAACTACTATGCACTTAATGCAGACATATTATTATAATTTGGGCTGTAACGGTTGTATTGATGTATAGCAACTTGAAATGCTCCCACAAATGGCTCCACAGCATGTAAAAGCATAAAGTAAGCTCTGGCGGACTTGGTTCTATGGTAGGTCTTAAAGGGTTAAGGTCAAAACATGCATTAAATAAATAAAAACACATGTAGTTATTATTAAAGTGTGTAGTTGTTACTGTTTCTGCTTCACCCACGCTGTCACGAACGCCAAACAGCGGAAGCAGAATTTTCCAAGTGAGCTGACCTGACTTCCTGTCACAGATCACAGTTTTGAAATAACTTTCACGATACCCTAAAAGTTCACTTCAGTTAAATTCCATTCACTGTTATTTATATGAATCACGGTTCTCTCAAGGCGCTTTATTGTTTGAGGTCGACCGTACAATAATACAAAGAAACCGAGAAAACGCCAACAATCATATGACCGCCTATGAACAAGCGCTTTGGCGACAGTGGGAAGGAGAAACTCCCTTCTAACAGGAAGAAACCTCAAGAGAGAACCAGGCTCAGGGAGGGGCGGCCGTTGTGGTGAGGGGAGGAAGACCGTACAGAAGAAGAGGATTAGCAGCCACACGTGGAGGTAACTTTACTTCCTGCCGACCAAACGCTGTTCGATCAGCTGGTTTTTAAGTGAGGCGCTGTTTGGGTATCACTGTCTCCTGTAATATCACAGTTTCAGTTCGTGCCTCAGTTGTTTTACACTCAGAGGATGAACAACAGAAATCATGTGATCACGATCGGATCGCGAACAAAAAGAGCACGTGCAGACTTTTATTAAGGAGTGAGAAAGCTGAACATGTTGTTATCGTTCGTGTTGTTCAGTCGTTCTGAGTCTTTGTTTTCAGTCTGACTGAAACAGAAGCTGAGTGTGCCCTCCGACCCCGACGTTCGCACGGCCGGCTGCTTTGTTGTTCTGGACTTCGTCCTAAAGCCTTTGTCTCGGCTGCTTTCAGGATGTACTCTGTGTACACTTCTACTGCTTGTGTGTTTAGCTGTGGGAGCTTTCTGTGGTTTAGCACAGCTGTAGTTTACCTGATCAAAGAGAAGAGCACGCAGACATGTGTCCGCTCATTTTTATTTTTTATGTATTCTGCAGTTAGATATGTGATAGGTGGGCGGGCTGTAGGTTAAATCATGTTTTATTTCATGTCATTGTCTGATGATATAAAATCTACTGAGATCTGCTCTCTGAGCTCTACTGATGGCTGAAATGAGTGATGATGAGTGAACGCGCGTTAGCGTCAGTATTTATCTCACGCAGGTCATGTTCGTGAGATAATCTTGAACTATTTCATAAATGTGGCTGAAGAACACATGCTTGCAGTGGAGCGTAGCTGCTTATCGCTGGTTCTGGATTACCGGATTACAAAAGCAGAAAGAATGAGGATTCAGGTGACGTAAACTCCTCCCTGAGATAACCGATCTCCACACCAGGCGGCTGCAGGACAAAAATGTTTTCTATTTCCAGTAGTTGTTACATTTGGTAATTTTTAAAGTTTTCTCGTCGTGATTTTAATGATAAGCGCATCCTGGCAGACTCTGGCGACCACGTTTCTACATCTGCATCAGGATGGTCGACTTGTACTGTGCGATCGCGTAGTTCTGATGACTTTGTAACACGCAGACACACAGTTATGTGCTCAAACACACACACAGCAAGAATCAGAATACTTTATTAATCCTCACAGAAATTATGTAAAAATACTGAGTAAGGAGAAAATAGCAGGAGCAACCGAAACAACCTGCAGCTGCTGTTTGTCACATGCAGATGTATTCTATGATGCACGAATGATTAAAGAAAACCCAACCTTTTTAAAAAAAGAGTTTTTAGCAGTCGTTTAAAACAAGCTGCAGATTCAGCAGAGGAAGCTGTTCCAAAGTTTAGGAGCTTCTTGATTCAACAAAGAACGAGGAAGCGTTAAAACTCTGATCGTAGCATCTGAGCAGCCTGGACACGCTCTGACCTTCTGCGTTGTAAATGTAACTAATGATATTTGGGGGAATTTCATCATTCATAGTTTATCTAAGATGGAGAAGAACAGGGTGACCTGTGAATGTTTAAGACATCTCAGGAGGATAAACTTGTAGCTGTGAGGTTAATATTTCAGCATATTTTACTTTGCTGTAGGTTTACATTAGAGTAAAAGATTGCAGATATTGAATGAATGAATGAAATCATAACCGACACAGTGCGGTTTATGAAGGAATCCTTCTGCTCTGTAGTGGTTTACTCTGGTTTCCTGTAATCACCTATATGTGTACAACTGAAACATTTCAGTTTGGTGAGTCATGCATTCCCGCTCACCTCATTTGTTTCCTGGCAGGAGGTTACGGAGGAGGCGGAGACCGCAGAGGGGGGTTTGATCGGGGCGGCTTCAGGGGCCGCGGCGGCGACCGCGGCAGCGGAGGCTTCAGAGGAGGCCGAGGAGGCGAGCGGGGAGGATTTGGCCCCGGCAAGATGGATGTGAGGTGAGCAACAAGATGCACGGCAGCTCTGTGAGGCGGCGTGCCCGCGTGTACGTCAAGTGTTTTATGGTTATTCATGACAGTTAACTCAGATGTTTCCAGTGTCGGTGGAGTCAACAACACCTGCACACACCTGCACACACCTGCACACACCTGCACACACGACAGACAGCAGGAGAACTGCTTTAAATGATTATAGACACACACACGTGGGAAAACAGATGTCATCAATCATAAACTCGAATTTTACTCACAGCAGATGTTCAAACTGAAAATGAACCATTTAAATCAAATCTGAGCTCCTGTTTCCCAGTCTGCAGGTTCCCCTCTTCTTTTCATGGAGCTCATGCTGCTCTGAAACTGTTTGTACTGATCAGCACTGATGGAGCCTTCCCAGACGTGCCAGCTGTCAGTCCCACGGGCACTTTTGACTGTAAATATACGAGAAACAGGTTTCACGGGTTAAGATTTGGTCCCACTGATCAGATTCTTTAAATTCATTTCATTTAAAAATCTGTTTTGTTGATTTTGAAATCATTTATTTATTTCTTAGTCTGAGTATTGACTTGTTGAAGTCCAAGCTCAGCAGTGCCTCTGTGGTTTGTGTTGACTTGGAGAAACTCGACCGCTGGCTGGAAACTGCACTGATGTTTTATGTCTTTGTGTTTGGTTTCCAGGGGCGACCGCAGGCAGGAGCGGCGGGGCCGTCCCTATTAGCCCATCCCGGCCGCTCGCATGACGACCTACGTGTGCACAGGTGTCCGTACCGGACGCAGCCCGCCCCTCTCACCTTTTATATCACTCCTTATTCAACACGTGACTCTCCCTGTGTTAGTGTTAGCTGTCGTGATTCATCCACACTGTCTGCTCAGCGGGGCGTCGTTTACCAAAACAAGCTTCAACATTTTAATTGATCAGATTTTATATCTGCCCGACTCTCCGGGATCATCACCGCTCTGTTCAGCTTCACGCTTTCACTCTGTCAGAGTAGCTTTGCATGATTCCCAGCTCTGAGACGTGAATAAAGATCATCAGCTGGCGTCACTATCTGTCCAGATTTTCAGAGAAACGTGTGCTCAAAGCGAGCACCGTTACCGGTGTTTTGATCCCTGCTGATGAACGCGGCACCTCCTCCTGATGTTCGGCAGGGTCAGTGAGCGACGGCTCAGACCGTTTGGGATCAAGAGGCACAGATGCCACACCTGCCCGCTGATGCCAGCTCATTCTGATCATGGCCAGTGTGCGATGTAAACGAAGCCCCGGCTCTACAGCTGTGTTCAAGAACTTTTTACTATTTATTATTGGTGTTTTTGTATCGTGCTCGTGCTGCTTTTCCAAATGAAAGTGTTGGTCAAGTAACTCGTTCTTCTGTGGTTCTTTTTCACTGTGATGCTTTGAGAAAACCGGATCACTAAACGCTCCAGGCTGATAGTTTCAGAGGCTTCGAACAGATGAAGCAATTCCAGTTCTTAGAAATGTTGGATCAGTGTCAAACATTTCTTTATCCACCTCAAAGACTCCCGATACTGTCAGTTTGTTTTTTTCACGCCTGGATCAACCCGTCGATGTTGCTCGTCCACTTGGCACAGCTTTGAATCACTGACTCAGCGCTCTCGTCTGCAAAATGTTCACGGAAGGAAAACATGCCGGTCATCATCTTCAGAAGATCTTGTGAACTTTTTAATTATTTTCAGTTGAAATAGTTTCCAGATTTTTATTTTTTTTACTTTAATAGAGGGTCACATCATCTCCTCCTGAGATGCAGCCTGATCCTTCTGTTCTAAGTTAAACACATAATTATAAAATCTGATTTAATATATACACAGAAATGACACTTAAAGACATTAAAAACTGAAAAGGACCCAGGAGCAGTTCAGTCAAAGGCCTTATTAAATGTAATAATATTAAAGTCAGCTGGGGGACCAAATCGATGCAGTAAGTGAAGTAAAGCAAAAAGATGGATTTTAACCCACAAGAGTTTAATACCTGTTCTTAGAAACCTACAGCTGTGTATGATGAAGAGAAGCTGCACAGAGGGCTCGTTACACACAGCAGGGTAGTAATAAATGCCAGGTTGTAGTGTGGTTGGAGATCAAACCACATTATTCTGTTACAGCCCCAAACTGCAGACATGTTGGTGAAACATAAATGAAGGACCCTTCATGTCTCAGCGAGGGCTGTTTTACATATTCTGTTGAAGACTGCAAGGACAACCATCAACATTAACTGGATGAAGCCCAACGCTCTTCCGATAGCTCGGGTACAAAAGCTGTCCTCTCTACCATTATTGAGGTAGAAAGTCACCTGGAAACTTACCTGTAACGACAGGTTTGCTCTGCCTACAGTTTATTTATCAGCATGTAGTTAGACCAAGTTGAATGACGTGCACCCTCAGGCGTCTTCTTTTTACACCCTTTTTCTTAAAGCACACTTGCTGTTCCAAATGTCAATCAAACATTTGGACTGTAAAAACTGGACTTGACTGGACTGGATCTCGAGTTTATTTCTGCAAAAGGATTCAAATCTGAAAGAGGAATCTCAAAAGCTTGATTCTGTTCATGTGGACGTAGCGTTTTCAGTGGGAGAAACTTTCGTCGCTCGTCCAAGTGACTTCAGTCTCAGCTGACTGCAGGTTTCCAACCTTATAAACATGTATAAGACACATTACTCACATATTTACTGATGCGTACCATTCTGGTAAGATAAATGGGTTAATAAGCAGACCGTACATCACTGAGCAAGGTCAACACTGACTCCATAAAACAAAAAAATAAACTGGATATTGCTGTACCTGAGGATGTTGGGCAATCTGCCTGGAGGGTGCAGTCATCATCTAGAGCTGCCTGCTCTTCTTTATAACGCTTACATAGAAATCTAGACTAACGAGAGTGTGGAGAAGTTCTGGCAGGTCATGGGCTCGTATTCTAATCTTCTTGGAGAGAAGTTTCAGTAATCATGTCCTGAGTCTGGAGTTTCAACATCTCTAAAAACTTTTGGGAAAAATTTTAGGACTTATCCAGATCACTTTAACTGTACAGATAAATATTTCCCAGAGGAACTACCTGAAGTTCTGAATGAAGTTCTGTCTGTTTATAAGCTAAAAGGCTCCAGAAGGAGTTAGGAAGACAAAGGTGGGAGAAATGGTGCCATTATAAGTTGGTGACCTGTCGTGGGTGTGCCCTGCCTCTCGCTCGATGACATCGCTTTGTTGGATAAGCAGAAGAAGATGGATGGAAACACAGGTGTGAACAGTTATTTTAACCCTTTAGCTCCATTCACCGCTCTTCATCGAGGACTCGACGAGCGACCCCGCGGTACTCTGGTTGTTCCTGGAAATGACGTCTCTGCTTGGAGGATCACACATGGGCAGAGGAATCGAAGAAGAGGAGGGATGACATCAGGTGATGAAGACTACCCCACCACCTCGAACATTTTCATCAAAGAAATACCTGGAGCACACCAATATGAACAGACTGCTGCTTAGAGATGTGGATCGGTAAAGTAAAGGGGACTCACAGAGGCTCAGATCCCTGTGCTACGCCTCCGCCCGTCAATTATTTGAATTTCAGCTACACCAGTTTTCTTTACAATAATGTAACTCGTCTGTAAACTGATTATTTGCACATTTTATTTTATTCTTTTTAACTTTTTATTTAGTAATTATTGTGCTAATAAACAACCAAACAAGCAACATATTAACGTTCTCTGACATAAGACCATTTAGAAAACACACACACACACACACACACACACACACACACACACACACACACACACCAAGATTAGGTCAATAACATGTCGTGGGGAAGAGTTATGGCTTCGTGCTACAATGTTCCAGAGTTCTGGTTCATATCCATCTTCAGCTGAAAGCTTGCTGTCATTCTGTGTGAACTCTTTTCAGTCTCTGTTTCATTGTGTTACGGATGGTGAGCTTGTTTTTTTCACAGTTGTCATTTTCTTAGCTTTTAGTTCAGACTTTACTTCTTAGGTTAAATTCGTAATTTATTCTGTACCTCGTTTAGACCTTTGTTCATCTCTTATCTATTATGCAACATGCATGTCGTACTGTGTATGGTTGTGTATGTGACAAATACATTTGAATTTGATTTGATTTTGTATGTGTGAGTTTCAGTTCATGTTCTCGGTGACTCAGTCTGATATTTCTGTTTCTAAATTTCATGCGAGGTTTAAGATAAAGACGTGCGGAGGGAAACACTTTTGACACAACACGATGTGCTCAGTGGAAACATCAGCGTTTCACTCGTTCTGAAACACTTCCTGTTCATTCGTTGATTCTGGGAAACCTGATGCAGTTTGACCAGTTTATTCCTGACTGGGCTGCAGGCCTATTGTTCACAGTCCCCAGTGTGCAGGTCCCGCTGTCACTGCAGATAAATGAAGCATGGAAATTAATTGGTTTCATTCACAAAGCAGATGTTTGGCCTTTTATAATCTCTGGGTGAGTCACAGAAGATGCTTCCTTAAACGATCCCCCCAAAGGCCATCCTGGATCCTCGTGCACATTTGAACTTTATATCAGAAATCCTGCTTTCCACAGATTTACAGGAACGTTGTTCTGTTAAAGACGTATGCCGGGAAGGCTTATCTGCTTTTCCCGATTCTAGTGAAATAATGAGGTCTCAGAAACTGACTCCCATTGTTTTGGTTTTATTTCACAGTCGCCGACGACAAACAGACACAATAGAGACACAATAGAGCTCACATACTCTGTGTGCTGCTCGTAAGTGGCCTTCAAGAACTCAGCCAATCAGAAGAAAGCCCACTTTCATAAAGAGACAGGAACTAAAGCGGCTTGTTTCAGACAGTTTCAGTCCTTCATGAGTCCTCCTTTAACCCCTTAACATAATTTTTTCTTCCTTGTTTCTTTGTTCAGGATGAATTTGCTGCCATTGTTGCTTCTTGTCTTCAGATGATTTTTCAGTCATCACCTTTCTCGTTGGTTTCAATTAATTTCTTGTAATAATTAGCCTGCAATAATCCATAATAATACAATAATCGTGTGCTGACTCTCAGATTGCTCATATATGTGAAAAACGACCTGCAAACATGGAAAATCTGATGTTGGTGTAACGGACTTGAATGTTACCACCGTCTGCTGCTTATTTTAATTTACTTTAACCTGACTTTAGTTAAAATTGAGTATTTCTACATTATTATATTATTGATAAACAATCGTCTGCTGTGTAAAATTGTGAGTAAATGTGTAAAGTTTGACGTCTGAGTTGATTTGGACGGAAATCTGAATTATCTGAAGCATCAGGTCAAACTGCGCCGTACAAAGTTGAAAGGAGGCTGTGTGGCGTTCAGCGAGAATGTTGACAGGTGAGATTCACCTGATAGCAGCCTGTCGTTGTTCTTCCTGATAATAGGACTTTTAAAAATGTTCCATTATCCTTTACTGTTTATTTTAGGTAACTGTGCAAATATTTATTCTGATCTGAGTGAATAAGGAAAAGTGCTGAAGACTCATTGACTCATTTATTTCAATTCGGTGCAGGAAATAGTTTAACCTAAATCTAAAAATACTATCATGTAATTACACCACATTACAAACGAAGTAACATTTATTTTCTGATTCAGTGTCAAGTGACTTAACAAACAGGTAAGACGGTTTTAAAAAAGGCCCAACAGCATCTTCAGTTTCTGAAGAAGGAGCTGCTGATCGTCTTCTACCGCTGCTCCATTGAGAGTGTGCTGCACTGCATCTGTGTGTGGTTTTCCAGCTGCACTTCAGAGGGTCATCAATATGGCCCAAAAAATCATTGAACATCCTCTTCCCTCCCTGAAGGACCTGTACAGTACTCGCTGTGTCAAGAGGGCACGCAGCATCCTACAGGAATGTACACACCCAGGACACCGGGTGTTTAAGCTGCTGCTGTCTGGCAGACTCAATGACAGCTTTTACAACACGGCAACAGCTGACCTGATTGGATACCTCCCTGGACTTTTTAAGTTACTGTGTCGTGTTGTTTTCTGCGTAGTGCAGACGCAGGACAGTTTCCAATTTCGTTCTACTATTGTACTTGCTATGACCGTGCAATGATGATAGAGAGTTATCTGTTATCTTGCAGAGGTTGTCGCCATGGCGTCCCTCAGGGCTCCATTCTTGGCCCACTTGTTTTTTCATTGTACGTTTTTTTCCTCAGGTTCAAAATGCAATTTTTCATTCAAATATGACAAGCTGTATCACAACAACAAAAGTCTCACTAGGTAGTCTGACTAGAACAAAATAATTTCCAGATAGACCTGCTCTATTATCTACCATGTTGAGCCTTACCGCTCTGAAGAGTCTGATAATTCAAGTTAAAAGATACAAAAAGGCAAAATATGTATATATTTTACAAAATGGTCTCAGGAGGAGGTGCTGGCTGTCATATTGTGGTCTGGGATGCGGGGCCTCCCTCTACTGCAGATATGGAGGCGGTCTGCTTGCCTCCACTCAAGAGAGAAGGGTTACACTTCCTGGGTCCGGGTTGCCCCTCTGGGGGCAGGGGTACCTGGACCTGGGATATAGAGTATGTTTGGGGAGTGTGAATGTGTGCACAGTGTCTATTTGTGTCTGTCTCCATGTGTCGGATGAGTGCCGAGTATTTGTTTGTGTATATGGGGGTGGGAATGCACCTTTGTGTCTGCGTGCGCCTGTTTGTCTGTGTCTATATGTCAGCTTGGGTCTCAGACTCCGCCTCTCTGGGAACATCTCAGGCTCTCCGAGGTTTGGAGGCCCATCTCCCCTCACCACACTCCCTGCCGGTGGCTGATGCCCTCAGACGTTGGTGTGTTGGTGGCTCTTGGTGTCTGGGGCTGGGCGCTCATGTATGTACCGACTCACTCCTGGTGGCCGATTGGCCAGGTGATCAAGGTGTTTTGTTTTTCTTGTTTTTCCCTTTCTCACCATCTCTTCTATTTTTCTTTCTCTCCCTCTCTTTCTTTCATTCCTTCTCCCTGTCCTATCCCCCAGTCATGTCTGTCCCGTCTGTAACAACCGAAAATCAAATAAAATAAATACATAATTATAGTAAAGATCAATCAAATGGACCAATAGGGCGAGGCCATGATGATCCACTTGGTAAAGTAAATCCACTTCGCATCTTTCTCGGCCCTCAGACAACAATTTTGATGGTTAACGATCCAAACAGGAAAGGCAAAAAAATAAAAGGTCTCAGTTATAACTAGAAGTGTAAACATCTCAGTAAACATTATAGATGTCCAAACTCGATATGTTCTTTGAGTCTACAGTTTAGTTTATATTGGTTAAACGTATCTTTAAATAAATTTTAATTGACTTTCGATAATAATAATAATAAAAAAGGATGATACAGCCTTTATTAATCCCACAGCTTGGAAAACAAGAAAATGCATTAAATTAATGTCTGTGATCTTGTCTATTTTTAAAAACAAGATTTTGAAATCAAGGGCCAAGAGCCTGTAGACTCTCATGTTAATGAAATTCTGCTGAGGGGATGAAAACAAATGACATCTGAGAAAAGGTCCTCAGGTAAACACAGCAGATTAAAGAAAATGCTTCAGTCTGTAGCAGGGCTTTGATTTCCTGATGTGAAATCAATAATTAATCCTAAAAAATAAAATAATTAGTTCAAAAGTTCAACATTGCTGCCTGAAACCTGAAATTCCTGTTTAATAGAGTGTGTCTGATGGGGGGAGGATCAGGTGAGCTGGAGGGAAGTGTTGGGCGTGTCGTTAGACAGGTGTCTGGCAGAGGTGTGTTTAATGCAGACAGAGAGGAGGAGGAGAGAGGAAGGGTATTTATGCCTCAGCAGGTCTGGAGGTTTGGATCTTACCGCGATGGCTTTCTACAAGGTGATGTGTTTGGCTGCTGGGCTGATGCTCCTGACCCAAGGTAAGAGCTCTCTGCACACACCTGCAGCAGGTACGACTCAGAGGGCGAAAACACTCAGGAGCACAGCGCTTCACTGTAAAGTGACACTGCTGCATAGTCATCACATTTATTGAAGAAAAAATGTGTGTCGGTTTATGGTGACGGCTGAAGCAGTGATGACAGGTTCCTTCATCATGGTTCAGGGCAGGAATTGAGCGACTTACTTTGATGGCAATACACCTCGCTACGAGTGCAAAATGAATGAATCCACAGAAGCAGAGTGAACCTAATGAACCACGTAGTGTTTATGGAGGGTGGCTAAACATATATTCAGCTGTAGAAACATCAGGCGCTTGTGCTGAGCTGAATGTTTGAACTACAAACACACTGATGGTGATGGTGAGCTCACACACAGGCACTGCCTACGTATAACCAGTGGACTCCTTTAACATCACGTCAGGAACTGCAGTAATACTGCAGTAGTATTAGTATTACAACGTGCAGCATGTGTACAGTATTTCTCTGTGTGGTTTCTGTCTGAGAGATAAACATCATCAGTGTTTTCATCCTGCTGAGTCACACAGTAACCAACTCCCCAACTCCCCCCCCAACCCACACACACACACACACACCCACACACACAATCCAATTCAGTCACCCACACAAAAACACACACACACACACACACACAAGCCTGTTGAT